GCTATGTTTATTCATTAAGCAACTGCAAATATAGTTCAGTAGTTTGAATTTATGGTAGTCCCTCAAGTTTTAAGCATTTAGGCATTTTGAATTAAAATTATGTTTTTAAATTTTTCTTTCTACATGTAGGAATGATTTGAGTCTTTTAAAAATCATTTTCATTATTCGGTACAGTTGAAAATATTATAAATTCAGAGACATAACTTTTTTAACATTATAAATTATTTTAAAAATTTTAAAAACTTTTGACTTTCAATACTACTGAAAATCAAAAAATAGGATATTATACAAAGATTTCTTAAGTAGTAACTAAAGAATGATTAGCTTTTTTATTGTTGGCAAAGTATTTCTGTACCCTTTAACATTTGGATTTGGGATCTACAACAAAAATCTTTTTATATGCCACATAATATTATTTAAAATGTAATTTAAGTGGATTTTAAAATGTTCTTATAAGTACTTTTAAAAATCATATCAATTAAATTTTGCAAAATAGAAGACATTTTTATATAACATTTATACTTAAAGCCTTTCATACTCATACATGTTAATAAAATATACTTTACCAGTACTTAGGCATTGCTCCCATATGTGTAGTTTTGTAATGATCTTAACTATATTTTCTCTAATTATGAGTTTTTCAGACCCTGGGCCTTTCCTAACTACTCAATTCCAACTAAGAGAGGAGATATCATATACCACAAGATGTCACTGTAGGTTTCCCAGCAACCTTTATAGAAGAAATGAATGACCCTTGAGACAAGGGTTAACTATTGGATAACAATTGCTCTAGTCTTCCCAAGATGCTTATGTTTTCTAGTCAGGCTTGCCCTCCTCAGACTGCATCTGTCCTCATTCACCATCATTAGGCCAGTAGATATAGAAACTTACGCTTGAATAAAACAGAATAAAAATAAAATAGGGCAAGAATGGGGTTCAAAGATGCTTCTCAACAGTTATATTAAGCTTGGCCATGTAAAGAAACCAAAGCCAGGGCAGTCTCCAAGATGTGAATTATGGCCTATTCCAGATGCGACTTTGCAATGGTGGAAATTTGGAACTAACAGGTAGAAGAGAATCTAACATGTCTTTATGGTGATTTCAGGTGAATGCTTACATTGATACATTGTGTATATTCACATATACTGTAAACTCTTGTTAATTTGCACCAGGAAAACAAACATTCTTTTTATTAAGGATACTAATTTTAAATATTTTAATGATACCTATCAATTTAGATAACACTATTGGAGTCCTGGTGTGGCTCTGTGGGCTAATGCATCAGACTGCAAAGTTGTCTGAACTGCCAGGTCGGTGGTTCAAGCTCATCAGCTGCTCCTTGGAAACTCTATACAGGGTTGCTATGGGTCACAATCAATTCAACAGCACTTAACAACAACAACTTAAGATTGTTGTTGGAGTCTTGTTATGGTGTTGTAGGATAAGCATTGGACTGCATGGTCAGTTTGAACCACAGTTCAAACCTACACACCACTCCTCCAAAATCTACACAGTGTTGCTGAGTCGGAATTGACTTGACAGTGCTTATCCTATGACGCCACACCAGAACTCCAAGTATCATTATAGAAGAAAATAAAAATTCATAACCTGTATTTAATGATGTCATGGAATTATTGGATTTGTGTGATGATGATATTGTAATTATGTTTACAAAGAATTCTCATATTTTAGATACACACTGCAATATTTATGTAAGAAATGAAATACTACCTGAAATTTACTTTAAAATAATCTTAGCAATGAGGACAGGGAATTAGATGCTGAGTTATAGATAAACCCAAGCCAGCCATAAATAGACATTTGATGAAATGGGGTGATGGGTATGCATATATGTTGGAAATATCCACCAGTAAAAAATAAGGAAAGTATAAATCTGGATTCAAGCAGAAGTATATGTATCTTGATCTTCTTTATCTGAAATGAAGAAACAATTGCTTATGACATAAGCCCTAAAATTTCAGGGATGTACTCTCAAAAATCTTTCTCTGTGTATCACTTATTCATTCGTATATCTTAATATTTCTAGAGTGTCTCATATTTTCAGATTATACCACTCCTTAGAAGCAATGTGCTCTCTAGGTCTGTCATTGGTTTTATAAACAAAGGGTTTTCATTTGTGTCACAAATTTAACTTTAAAATTTACAGAAGGTGATCCAACTTTCTAGTTTTTCAGGATTTATTGAACAAGTGTATTCACTGATAACCATACCTTGCACAATCATGTCGAATTCTGTTAAGTGTTAAGATTCCTCTCTTATAGATGTGCCTCCATTTCTTTGATGATTTACTGTGTTCTGCTTTGAAACTTTCTCAGCATTCATTTCAGTTTCTCTCTGAGGACTGACGACCAGACCAAACAGAAGTTCCTGTTTTTGTAGACACTTTGTTGTGTTTGTGTGCCATCAAGTCAGTTAGAACTCATAGAGACCCTGTAGAGGCTTTTTGAAGCTGAAAATGTTCATGGAAACAGAAATCCTAATCTTTCTCTGAGGAGCAGACCATGGGTTGGAACTGTCAACCTTTTGGTAAGCAGTCCAGTACTTATTCTACAGTGCCTCCAGCACACCTCAGACACGTTGTTGTTGTTGTAAAGGGCTGTCGAATTGGTCTCAACTCATAGTGACTTTGTATAGGGTTTCTGAAGAGCAGCTGGTAGATTTGAACCACGGACCTTTAGGTTAGCAGTCTAATGCTTGTTCTACAGCGCCACACCACGGCGCCCCATTATCTACTACAAAATAGAATTGTATTGTATTCCTCTGTGTTTTATCTAATACTAATTTGCTTCATAATTTCTGCTTACTCATAGGAGCCAAATGGTATTTTGAATTTATTCAATTCACTTATTTATCTAAAATACAAGATTACTTTATATAGATTATTTTAGATTAGAATTAGATATTTTTAGATTCTTTTGTCTATCTAAAAATTTCCGTTTAAAACCAGATTCTGACTCGTGGAAACCCCGTGTGAGTTAGAGTAGAACAGTGCTTCATAGGGTTTTCGTAGCTGATCTTTTGGGAATGAGATCATCAGGTTTTTCTTCTGTGGTCCCTCTGGGTGGATTCCTGGGAATAGCTGTGAGCTCATAAACCATTTGTACCACCCGAGACCTAAGGGAGAAAGATGAGGCTTTCTGCTACCTTGCAGATTTAAAGTCTTGGAAACCTTACACAGGGTTGCTATGAGTCAGAACAGACAAGATAGCACTTAACAACAACAAAAGGATACAACTAGCAGGAAAATTGTTCTAGCTCACACATATTCACTTGACTATGTATTCTTATTCATGTAATTATACATACATTTAAACCTTTATATACTAAGCAAGAGGACTCCTGGTATAGGATAAGCACTGGACTACTAATAACAAGTTTGAGAGTTCAAACCCACCAGTTGCTCCTTAGAAACCCAATACAGGGTCACTCTGAGTTGAAACTTAACAACAACATAATGAGCGCCACTCCAGGACACCCCATCATCTACTACAAAATAGAATTTTATTGTATTCCTCTGTGTTTTATCCAATACTAATTTGCTTCATAATTTCTGCTTACTCATAGGAGCCAAATGGTATTTTTGAATTTAACAACAACATAAGGAACATACAAAATCTATTTAACTTTTTAGTCCTTATTTCTTTACTAGGCCATTAAATACAGTGACATTTTTCTACAATTCCCTTGCATTACACTTAAATTTCACTTTTTGATCCACATCATAATTTTTGTAATAAAATATTTATTATTATTTTTGTTCATTAGTCTACCTGATTAAGTAAAGTACTACACATTTTGGGCAGGGCATTCTACATTTTAGATGTAAAGTTATGGTGAAATTCAATGGCTTCTTTCATTCTACTCTGCATTGGACTTTCACAATTATCAGCAAGTACTATGTATGGAAAACCTTACTGAAGACTTTCTTGAGGTTACATATTCAAATTACTCTAAAAACTACCTTCCCCCGCCCCTTGAGTGTTTACAATTTAAGTGGTACAGCAGTAGATCTGTGAAATAACAGATTTATGTACTTAGTTCCTGAAATCTGAGTGTACAACATGGTGAGGGAGATAGACATATAAACATAATTATAGTAAATAGTTTTGACAATGACAATTGTCCCAATACTTACAATAAAGTATACTAGATTTATTTTGCATTAACATAAGAAAAATGCAATACCAAAAGTCATAAATTTTAGATTGAGAATTCTTTTAATAACAGATTAGTATTTACTTTTGCTAAGGTATTTTTAAGGAGCTCTGGTAGCGTAGTGGTTACAAATCGGGCTGCGAACTGCAAGGTCAGCGGTTCGAAACTACCAGCTGATCCGTGGGAGAAAGATGAGGCTTTCTGCTCCCATAAAGATTTATAGCCTTGGAAACCCTATACAGGGTCGCTATGAGTAGGAACCGACTCCACAACAACAACAAGGAATTTTTATAGAACATCACATTCTGCCTATGGGTAAAAGCTAGGGGACAAAGAGCCCTAATTTGTACCCATGGGCATTAATGACAAAGATTTATAAATTATATTAGATTGAATATAATAGTCTTTTCTAACTTCACCTGAGAAAGTGTTACCCATATTTATTACCTAGACTGAGTTAGTTCTGAACTGCCATTTTACTGAGAATGTTTGACCTCTTCTATAGTAACATTTTATGCCTAATGTTCATTTATGCCTAATGTTCATGCCTAGATTTTCACAAAATCTAGGTGAAAGAATATCAGAATAAGAAAGAATTATCTTATCCAGTCACCTCATTTTATAGAGAAGGAAACTGAAGAAACACTAAACTGCTTGCCCCAGGTCACTCAACCAGTTTGTGGGATTAGAATTTAATTCAAGATAAGAAAAAGATATTCTCGGTATTTTTGTTAGTGATAACTTTGAGTAGACATTGGCAGTGGATATTAACAGGGTAGTGCATGGAAAATAAGTTTGCTCATGAAATGTTTTTCCTCTTACTCAGCTTTTTATATTAAGTCAACATCTCTATCATTCTTTCCCCTGTACATACCAGTAGAAGATACAGTCTAAAACCCAGTTATTAAGAAAATTAATAAAGAAAAATCTACCATCATTTTTCATCAACATTTCTCAATATGTTAATGTCATGTAACATAATCACCAGCTCAATTTATCCTAGGCTTAGTGAAATGGCTCAGTCACTGCTCTTGACTCAGCCATGGGCAGCGTACCACATTCAATATCACATGCAAAAAAAAAAAAAATTTCAAGCACATGCTTGGTTTTCCTCTCTCTAGTTACCTTTTCGTGTGCCTTTTAGGGTGAAAACTTTCAGCTGTACTTACATTGACTGCTGACCTATTTTAGGCAAGAAATGACCTCCATAAAAAATCCCAATCATGAGTTGTGCCTATATATAAATAGGAGGACTCTGATTTTTGTACTGTAGCCAATTCTAAACTTAGATTCTTACAAGAGGAAAACACAAGCTAGCTAGCTAGCTGAGGCTAATGCACATGCAATATTTTTTCCTGAGGATGAAGGAGGAAGGCTACAGATCTACAGAATCCAGTTTTCAGGCTGTAACATTCTGTCGGTAGCTCCTTTTCAACCAGCAATTTTACACTTGATTGACCTGTAAATAATTCAAATAGGCTTTCTTATTTGGAAGACAGAGCTAATTTCTATTCTGATTGACTAGCAAAAGCAATTTTGCACATTTTTTACTTTCTATATCACGCAAATAGTTAAACACTTCCAGCTACAGCTGAGTCTCCGCTTTAAAAATAGAAAATGCTTCTGCAGTTCTCGCCCATCCCCCATCCTGCACCTACCAGCCCTGCTCCAAGTGTCTCTGAATAAGGTTCAATGTCCTGGCCATTCTCCTGTTAGCGCGCAGGAACCTTTGTGAAAGTCTGAAGGGAAGCAAAACATAATTAGGAATCCAGTCGCTGTTATTTCTTCTGACTAGAGCACTTGCACCTAAGGCACCTGGTTGTCGCAGACAGAAACCCAATCAAACTATGTCTGCAGATATTGCTGTTGAAGGGGACTGCATTAAGCACAT